TGCTGATAGCTTTAAAAACTACAATAATAATGTCTTATGTTTACATGGAAATTTACAATATATATTACCTTTATCTCACAAAAAATAACTTTTTGTAAATTAAAAGAAAAGATGCTCAGAGAGGTACAGTGAACTGCTCAAGGTCATGCAACAGCCTGAGACTTGCATTTTCAGTTTCTTAATACTGTCTTTTGATGAGCAAAGGTTTTGAATTTTGATGAAGTACCATTTAAGTTTTTCTTTTATGGTTTATGCTTTTTGTGTCCTAAAAAATCTTAACCTGCCTAACCTGATGTCATCAAGATTTCTTTTATGTTTTCCTCTAGAAACTTAATGGTATTAGCTCTGTTGTTTAGGTCCATGATCCACTTTAAGGTAATTTTTATATATGATATAATGTAAGGGTTAAGGTTATTTTTTTCTATATGAATATCCAATTCTTCCAAAACAACTGGTTGAAAAGACTATCATTTCTCGCACTGAATTGCCTTAGTATCTTTGCTGGAAATCAAACGACCATATATGTATGAATTTATTTTTGGATTCTCTATTCTGTTCTTTTAACCCATAGTTTATTCTTTTGCTAGCCAATATCACAGTGCATTGATTACTGTAGCTGTATAGCAAGTTTTGAAATCAGTTGGTGTACTTTCTCCAACTTTGTTCTTTTCCAAAATTGTTTTGGCTATTTTAGGTCCTGTGAATTTCCATATGAATTTTAGAATTGGATTGTCAATATCTTCAAAATTGCCTTATAAGGATTCTAATTGGAATTTAAATCTATAAATCAGTTTCAGGAGAACTGATATCTTCACAATATAGAGTCTTCCAATCCATGAACACAGTATATATTTGCATTCATTTAGGTCTTTTAAAATTTCTCTTAGCAATGTCATTTTTCATAGCATCTTTTTTACTTGAAAATATTTTAAGCTTGTCTTCAAGTTCTTTAAACACAGTAATCAACTATTATATTGTCAGAATTCTGGTGCTTAAAGCCTTTGTGTATACATGTTTATGTTTGGTTGTTTCTGCTGGTTCTCATTCAGGTGTCTCATTTCTTTAAGGGCCTACTTATCTATCACTTATATTAAACATTCTGTTCAAGAATCATATGTAGGAATATATATATATATAAAGTATAACTGAGTATTTGCATCACCTTAAGATATTATTCTAAAACATATTTTTTGAAATACCATGGAAATAATCAGAATAAAGGAATCATTACTATTTTAACTATTTTAAAGAAACACTCAAAATCATTATCTCACAGTAATTTGTCTTATAATCTGTAGAGTAATTCATTGACATCTATGACACATTTCAGGCTAAGGTCAAGTCTAAGCATCACTACCCACATGAAGCAATTAATGTGAACTGTAAGCACAGAGCTTTTGAAGGGCTAGCCTTGTACACCAACATACAGAATATGTACTATAACAATAAATTAACATCAGAATAATGATGGTAATCATGAAAGACTGCAGCATATGTTAGAATAGGGTTGGTTCTGATGGTATGATCAAAAGTAAATGGGGAAAAAATAATCAAGCCCTTTCATTGCCCCACTTGTCCAAAGATCATCACATTTTATCCATTAAATACCATGCTTTCTTGCTTTTTATATGTGTGGTTAACAGTGGGATCTAGAGCAAATATCTATGAGACAAAGTAAGAACTTCA